CAGATGCGGCCTCACCAGGGCTGAGTAGAGGGGCAGGATCACCTCCCTCGACCTGCTGGAGATGCTCTTCTTAATGCACCCCAGGATCCCACTGGCCTTTTTGGCCACGAGGGCCATGTCAGACCTGGGGAGGCTGCAGCTGGTCAGGCTGTCCCCGTGCTGCCGTCCGGGTCTGGCTCCCCTCTTGCTCCGGGGGCTCTTTGCCCTGCGTTGTTCCCGTCCTGACGTCCTGCTCTCCACAGATCCGCCTGCGGTGCCAGAAGGGGATCCCGCCCTCGCTGAGGGGCCGTGCCTGGCAGTACCTCTCCGGGAGCAAAGTCAAACTGGAGCAGAACATCGGCAAATTCGATGTAAGCCCAGGCGAGGCCCTTCCCTCCCCTGACCCTCCTCGGGGCGCTTGGCTCCCGCTCCTTGAAGGCCTGGGGGTGCCGCTGGGGTCCTGGATGCTACTGCTCCCTGCTGTGTGCATACGAGGGGTCCCACTTGCCCCAGTGGGACTCTCCAATGCCCCTCAAGGCCAAGCAGATGGCAGTGGCGCATTCACGTCTGTGTGGCTGCCTCCTCTCCCTGGTTTTGGGGCTCCCCCTCATGGCCACTGTCCTGGCTACCCTCTCACTGCGGGCCTGTGTCCTGGTAGTGCCGCGGCCAGGCATCGCCTCGCACAGCTCACCTGAGCCCTCTCCTCCCCAGGAGCTGGATCTCCTCCCGGGAGACCCCAAGTGGCTGGATGTGATTGAGCGAGATCTCCACCGGCAGTTCCCCTTTCACGAGATGTTCGTCTCGCGTGGCGGCCACGGGTAAGTGGAGCTGCCTCACACCAGCTCTCGGCAGCTGATGGACTGGCACCTTGGGACACGGGGTGTCTGTCCCAGCTCGCAGAGCTCAGTTCCCTGTGTGGTGTCACCCAATCTCGCATGCGAAGCACACGGGGTGTCCCCGGAGGCTCCAGGTGAGGGCTTAGCCCAGGTGCTTGGTCCCTGGGTGACTGCCATCAGCACCAGCTCCAACCCCAGCAGTGTGGGCATTGCTGCAGCAGGACATCAGTTAGCGGAGAATGGAGGTGCCCGATGGTGGTTTCTGCGTCACCTGGGTGACACAGAGCACAGCAGGTCCCTGCGTGTCTGCACCCCTGTGCTCGCAGCCGGGGCTGCCTGGGAGCTGCTTCACAGAGTAATAGAATCATTAAGGTTGAAAGGACCTCTAGAGGTCATCTAGTCCAACCCCCCGGCACACGCAGGGTCATCTAGAGCACGTGGCACAGGGCTGCGTCCAAGCGGGTTTTGAGGATCTCCAGAGAAGGAGATTCTACAACCTCTCTGGGCAGCCTGTTCCAGTGCTCTGTCACCCTCACTGTTAAGAAATTTTTCCTTCAGTTCCTGTGGAACTTTTGATGCTTCAGTTTCCAGCCGTTTCCTCTAGTTCTGTCGGTGGCCACCACTGAAAAGACCTGCTGGAAACGCTCTTCTTAATGCGCCCCCCCAGAATCACAGAATGGTTGAGGTTGGCAGGGACCTCTAGAGATCATCTAGTCCAACCACCCTGCTCCAGCAGGGATACCCAGAGCAGAGCACACCCCAGAGTCCCATTGGCCTTCTTGGCCACGAGGGCACTTGCTGCCTCACCTTATCACCCACCATGATGCCCATGTCCCTCTCTGCAGAGCTGCTCTCCAGAAGGTCAGTCCCTAGCCTGTACTGTTGTCTGGGGTTATTCCTCCCCAGGTGCAAGACCTTGCACTTGGCCTTGTTGAATTTCATGAGGTTTCTCTTCCCCTTGCCTTGAGCCACCGTCGCTGGTGGGAGCAGCGGTGCAGGGAGGGGGGTTGGCTCCCTGCCTCATCTGCCACCTACCAGGGCATTTCTGCAGCCCTTGGCTAAGAACACAGCAAGGCTTTCCAGCCAGGTCCATCTTTGGACTCTTGCCAGAGGCCCGCGAGGCCGCCTGGCGCTGTGGCGGGAGGCGGTGGGGTCTGTCCCTGCTGGCTCTGCACCTCCCCTCGCGCCCGTGTCTCCGCAGGCAGCAGGACCTGTTCCGGGTGCTGAAGGCCTACACGCTGTACCGCCCCGAGGAGGGCTACTGCCAGGCCCAGGCGCCCATCGCTGCCGTGCTGCTCATGCACATGCCGGCCGAGGTACGGGGCTGCTCAGGAGGACGGGCAGCCCTGGGGAACCCTGTGTTGGAGACCTGGGCACGGTGGGAGGACACGGGGTGCCCGGGGGGAAGCAGAGGCAGCTGCTGCTGCAGGGGCCTCCCAGCCCTGCCCGAGCTGAGCCCCAGGCTCCAACCTGCTCTGCGTGCACGGGGGCTGCCCGCGCCGCTCA